AAAAAGTATAACTATTGCACTGTGTTGTACAGCTGAAACTAATTCTAAAAAATGTGTATTTCATAATAAAAAATAATTTAATAAAAAAAAAGAAATGGACAGATCCAGAAGGCAGAGAACCAATAAGGACGAAGTGGAACTGAACCATACCATCACTAACTGGATCTAATGGACATCTGTTGACGACTTCATCCAACAGCAGCAGAATTCACATTCTTCTCAATGGAACAGTCACCAAGACAGAGCATATTCCGGGTCATAAGACACACCTTAACAAATTTAAAAGACTGGTAATCATACAATGAATGTCTGCTCTCAGGCTGCAACAAAACTAAACTAGAAATCAGTAACTGAAAGATAACTGGAAAATCCTCAAATACTTGGAGATTAAACAATACATCTCTAAATAATACACATGTCAAAAAAGAAATCTCAAGAGAAATTTAAAAATATTTTGAACTAAATGAAAACACAACTTATCAAAATTTGTGGGATGCTGCAAAAGCAGTGCTTAGAAGGAAATTTATAGCATTGAATGCATACATTAGAAAAGAACAAAGATCTAAAATCAATAATCTAAGATTCCCCCTTAAAAAGTAAAAAATGAGGAGCAAATTAAATCCAAAATAAGCAGAAGAAACACAGTTGACCCTTGAACAGCACGGGTTCAAGCTGTGTGGGTCCACTTACACACAAAGTTTTTTCAATAACTATACAGTCAGTCCTCCATATCCCCAGGTTTGGCATTCATGGATTCAACCAGCCTCAGATTGAAGACCTTATTTTTGATCCATAGCTGGGAACCTGCAGATGTGGAGGGCCAACTTGAGTTATATGCAGATTTTTCAACTATGCAGGGGGTTGATGCCCCTAGCCCCCATGTTGTTCAAGGGTCAATTGTATTAGCAATCAGAATTCAGCAGCACTGTGAAAGTGTCATACACACGAGCAAGTGGGATTTATACTTGGACTGCAAAGATAGTTCAATATGGGAAAATCAATTAATGTAATCTATCACATTAACAAAATGAAGGACAGAAATGATAGTCATCTCAATTGGTGCAGAAAAAAGCTTTTGACAAAATTCAACACTCTTTCATTATCAAAACACTCAACAAACTAGAGCTAGAAGGAAACTACCCCAATATAATATAAGCCATAATTGAAAAGCCCACAGCAAACATCACAGTAAGTGGGGAAAGAGTGAAACCTTTTCCTCTAAGATCAGGAACAAGGCAAGGATGCCCACTCTCACCACTTCTATTCAACACAGTATTGGAAGTCCTAACCGGAGCAATTAGACCAAAAAAAAAGCAAAAAAAAAAAGGCATAAAAAAAGGAAAAGAAGTAAAATTCTCTCTGTTCACAGATGACATGATTATATGTACAAAACTCTAAAGATTCCACACAGAAAAACTATTAGAATTCAGTAAAGTGGCAAAACACAAAATCAATACTCAAAGATTGGTTGCATTTCTATACACTAACCATGACCATTCCAGAAAGGAAACTGAGAAAACGATCCCATTTACTATAGTAGTATCAGAAAGAATAAAACATTCAGGAATAAATTTAATGAAAGAAGTGAAAGACGTGTACACTAAAAACTACCAAACGTTGCTAAAAGAAATCAAAGAAGATAACAACTAAATGGAAAGACATCCTGTGCTTGTGGATTGGAAGACTTAATACTGTAAAAACGATCAAATGATCAAGATGATCTACAGATTCAGTACAATCCCTATAAAAATCCCAATCACAGTTTTTGCAGAAATAGAAAAAAATCCCTAAAATTCATATGGAATCACAAAGGACCCTGAACAGACAAAGAAGAAATCTTGAAAATGAGAAACAAAGTTGGAGGCCTCACACTTCCTGATTTCAAAACATTACAAAGCAACAGTAATTAAGATGGTGTGGTACTGACATAAAGATAGATATAGAGACCAACGGAATAGAATAGAGAACCCAAAAATAAACTTATATATCTGGTCAAATGATTTTCAACAAGGGTGCCAAGACTACACAATGGGGAAAGGACAGTCTCTGCCACAAATGGTGTTGGGAAAACTGGATATCTACAAGCAGAATAACGAAGTAGAACCCTTCCTTACCTTATACCATGTACAAAAATTAACTCAAAATGGATTAAAGACCTAAATGTAAGCCCTAAAACTATTAAAGCCCTAGAAGAAAATATAGGGGAAAAGCTCCAGGACATTGGATTCTTAGATATTTCTTAGTATTGATTTCTTTTTTTTTTAGATTGTATTGGGGAATTGGGGAAGAGGAACAGTGTTGGGGAATTAGGGAAGGGGTACAGCCAAGTTGTTGTCCTTCAACCTTAGTTGTGAAGGGCGCTGCTAACTCAACTCAAGTCCAGTCGCCATCTGGCTGCCCAACAGCAGCTCACAACCGTGCAGCTCAAGATGTCGTGTTCAATCTTAGTTGCGGGTGGGCGCAGCCCACCATCCCACGCGGGAGTCGAACCAGCAATCTTGTTGTTAGGACCGTGTGCTTTCACCAGCTGAGCCATCCTGCCACCTTTTGGCAGCTCAGCTGCAGCTTACCTCAGGCACAGCTCACTGGCACGTGTGGGAATTGAACCAGCGACCCTGTCGCTCAGAGCTCGCACTCTTAACCAACTGAGCCACTCGGCTGGCCCCTAGTATTGATTTCTTAGATATGACACCGAAACTACAAGCAACAAAATGAAAAATAGACAAATGGAACTACAGTAAGTCCCCGACTTACGAACAAGTTCCGATCCAGGAGAACATTCGTAAGTCGGATTCGTTCGTAAGTCCGACAAAGTGAGTCTTTGTGCTTCCTAGCAGTCCCCTCCACATCACAGTTTTCCGTCTTGCTTCCAGACATCCTGGGTTCTGATTGAGCACTGTACTACTGTACACTATCGCACTGTGCAGTAAGCACACAGAAGCACAATTGTGACAATGTCTGGCAGACACGTGAGCTACCTCTGCGATTTGTTCGCATCTACGAATGTTCATAATGCGAGGTCCGTTTGTACCTGTGAAAGTTCATAACTTGAATGTTGGTAAGTCGGGGACTTACTGTATCTCAAACTTAACTTCTCCAGGTCAAAGGAAACGATCAACAGAGTGAAAAGGCAATCTGCAAAATGTGAGAAAATATTTGCAAATCATATACGAAGGATACCCAAAAAATGTATACACATTTTAAGGAAGGAAAAAATTATTACAATTGTAATACTCAATATATATCGATAACAAAAGATGAATACAAGTCACGTTTGACTTCTGCAATTACAAGAGGTGCTCAAAGTGGTTACCATCAGTGTCCAGACACTTCTGATTACAGTGAACTACTGCTTGAGCAATGTTGACCATTTCTTAAAATGTGTATACATTTTTTTGGTACCCCTAGTGTCTGATAAGGGGTTAATATGAAGACTACACAAGGAAATTCCACAATTCAACAACAAAAGACAAATAACTCCATTAAAAAATGGGCAAGGGACTTGAATAGACACTTCTCCAAAGAAGACAGACAAATTGGCCAATAAATAACGTGAAAAGATGCTCAACTTCACTGATCATTAGGGAAATGCAAATCAAACACAATATTACCTCACACTCATAAGGACAGCCACTATCAAAAGCAACAGAAAATAACAACTGTTGGTAAGGCTGAGCAGAAGTTGGAATCTTTGTACACCATTGGTGGAAATGAAAAACAGTGCAGCCACTGTGGAACACAGTATGGAGGTTCCTCAGAAAATTAACACTAGAACTACCACATGATCCAGTGGTCCCACCTCTGGGTACATAGCCAAAGGAATTGAAATCAAGATATCAAAGAGATATTTGTACCCCCATGTTCACTGAAGCATTATTCACAGTAGCCAAGAGGTGGAAGCAACCCAAATGTCCATCGGCGGATAAGTGGATAAAGAAAATATTATACAGTGGTCCCCCAGAGGATTGGTTCCAGGACCACCAGGGACACCGAAGTCCATGGATGCTCAAGTCCCTTATATAAAATGGTGTAGTACTTGCATGTAATACGCACATCCTCTCATATACTTTAAATCATCTCTAAATTACTTATTATACCTAATACAATGTAAATACTATGTAAATAGCTATTATACTATGTTGTTCAGGGAATAATGACAAAAAAAATCTGTCCATGTTTAGTACAGATGCAACCATCGTGGGTATAACTACATAGCACACATCGGTAATGTTAACATTTTTTTTCAAATATTTCAATCCGTGGTTGGTTGAATTCATGGATGTGGAACAGGACATGGAGGGATGACTGTATGTACACACAATGGAATGTTATGCACCCTTTAAAAAGGAACGAAATCCTGTCACATGGAAGGAACGCCTACAACATGGAAGAGCCTCAAGGACATTAAGCTAAGTGAAAAAAGTCAGTCAGAAAAGGTCAAATACTATATGATTCCATTATGATGAAGTATCCACAGTAGTCAAAAATCATAGAAACAACATCAGAAAGGTGGTTACCAAGCGCTGGGGGAAAACTAGTATCTAGAGGGTGTAGAGTTTTAGTATTGCAAGATGAAAAAGTTTTGGAGCTCTGTTGCATAACAATGTTAATATACTTAACTGTACATTTAAAAATGGTTAAGATGGTATATTTAATGTTATACTTTTTTACCACAATTTAAAAAAACTCATGAAACTAAAAAAAAAAAATCCACACAACATGACCAACCATAGAGGAACTCTATTAGAAAAGGGAATGAGTTCTTGAAAAGTAGTCAAAATAAACAGTTATGGAAAATATTTTAATTTTTTCTTAAGGAATGAAAAAAATGATGCAAGTTTGGACATTATCATTAGTAAGTATGATCATTAAATAAGTCGGAATACACTTTCACTGAAAGGAAATATGAAAGTCAAGGCAGGGAAAGTGGTAGGTGGGGGTGAGGGCATTAAGATCTGAGCCTCTGAGACCAAAAGCTAGGGTTCAAACTGCCCTGCTGCCACTTCTTAGGTGAGCGATCTCGTGCAAGTCACTAATGCTCTGTGGTCCTCAGTCTCCTCATCTATAAAACAGGAAGAATAGTGCCTGCCTATAGCACTGTTGGGAGGAACCTGTACTTAGAAGAGTATCTAATACCTAGTAAGGGCTTCTTAAATGGTACCGTGTTTCCCCAAAAATAAGACCTAGCTGGAAAATAAGCTCTAGCATGATTTAGGGTGTTTGTAATATAAGCCCTACCTCAAAATAAGCCCCAGTTAAATCTTCAGCCAGACATGACTGTATTTGAATAACTGTAGATTTTTGTATATGAATAAATGAATAAAATGTGTCTTTTGGAGCAAAAATTAATATTAAGACTTGGTCTTATTTTCAGGGAAACACAGTTCTTCTCCCTCTGCAGGGGTGACAGTAATGAGACTTGAATTTTCTGCACAAGCCCAGTGCTTTGGAGGTGAGGAAAGTGGCTCTTAAATATTACCTTTACAAGGTAGCCCCTCACAACAGAGTGCGCTAGTACATGGAATGCCAATTTTTAAGCCTTGGTTCTCTGTCACTCACCCAGGCCCCGGCGTCTTCTCACTGGTTCCACCAACCAGGGTGCTTCCCCTTCTTCCAATAAGGTGATCACATTTGGCCTCCGACAGGAAAGTCCTGCTCATGGGAAAAACAAAACTGAGCACATGGGTGCCACACACATTAGAGCCAAGCCCTGTGTCAACAGGAATGCAGGTTTCTTAGCACATAAGGCGTGGAGGGTGCGAAGGGCAGCGGGAGAACGCAGAGGATGAAAATTCAGTGACAGCCAACAGTTTGTCATCTCTAACTCTGCAGAGCCAACTGCTGTTCTGAAAAGTTGGACCAGAAACTCTTGAGGCTGATTATTAAGCTACTGCTTTTCAGATCCCACCACCGCCCCCTTCTCTGACCTGTTTTGGGGGACAAGGGCTCTGTAACCCTCAATTCTACTTCACCAGCTGCTCCCTGAGGGTCCACCAATAGGGGCTCTAGTGGTTTCAATGTCTGTTGTTTTTCTTTTTCTCCCTCTACTCCCAGACTAGCCTCATCTCGCCCTCTCAGGAGTATAAAACCAGGCAGTGCACCCCCTCTCCTCCTTTAGAAGTCTGTGTCCCTTCCCCTATGTCCTAAAAACCCAGCTCTCCCTTAGCCCTCGGGGGTGGCTACAGCCTGCAGTTACCGAGCCTGCGGTTACTGTGGCTGCTTACCTCAGTGTCCTCTACTCGCCCATTAACAGTACCTGTTAAGTCAATTCCTCATATTAAACTCTCTCTCTCTTAAAACAACTAGGGTGTCCTCAGAAGGACATATGCATATATAGTTCCTACATGACCAGCAATTCCACTCCTTGGTACATAACCAAGAGACTTGGAAATGTGCGTCCATTAAAAACCTTTTCAAGAATGTGCACAGCAGCATATACATAATACTGCAGAGTGGAAAAGCCCAAATGCCCGTCAGCTGACGGATGGATGGACAAGATGTGGCCCATCCACACAAGGGAATGGTATCTGGCCATAAAAAGGAGTGAGGCAATGGCACACACTACAATGTGGGTGACCCTAGAAACTGTGATACTCAGTGAGAGAAGCCACACAGGACCACACATGATGCCACTTCTACAAAAGGCCAAGAACAGACAAATTCACAGAGACAGAAAGCAGATTGATTGATGAATCTGGGGGACTAGCGAGCAGGGGAAATGAAGAGTGACGGCTGATGAGAATGGGTTCCTTTTGGGGTGATAAAAATGCTCTAGAATTGACTGTGGTGGTGGATGCACAACTCTGCCAATAGAATAAAAGCCACTGAATTGTATAGTTTATATGGGCAAACTGTACAGTATGTGAATTACATCTTAGTAAAGCTGTTAGAAACAAAACAAAGCCTACCAAAACTGGAGTGGCTTCTGCTTTCCTGACCAGACTGACTGCCTCATGTCCCTCAAAGGGCTGCTGTGGGATCCAGGGGCCTTACCAAGAGAGAGTAGGCTCTGGTAGTTGTCCAACATGACATCTTTGTACAAATCCTTCTGAGTGGGGCTCAGCCATTCCCACTCCTCCTGGGAAAAGTAGATGGCCAAATCCCCAAATGTCACTGGCACCTGAAATGGAAAACCACACGTCCTCTCACTGTGGGTTTGTGCTTCCACACACCTGAGGAAGACAGTGGACTTGTCCCACACATGGGAGATATGCAGGACCAGGTGTATGAACCTAAGTAAAACACAGCACAATATGCTATGGCCGTTATTAAAGGCAGTGTTGCATAAAAAGAGTATCAACTTGGATGTACTGGGCACTGAGAGTCCAGGCATCTTCCTAGCACTGACACGTACTGGTTCTATTAGCGCCCATGTTAGCGACCAGGGCACTACTGAGAGGGTCACAGCAATGATGCAGACAAGGAAAGAGGCCCAGAGGCTGAGGAGACTGACGTTCTGCAAGCTGGTAAATGAAGCAGCTGGGCTTCAAACTGGGCAGTCTGGTTCTGGATCGTGCTCCTAACCATTTTCTCTCTAAAAAGCACGTGAACCTGTCGTCACACGCAGCAAAGAGCTCTTTGCAGATGTGATCAGCTGACCTTAAAATAAAATAGGGAGGTCATCCTGGCTTGTCTAGTGGGCCCGATGGAATCACAGGAGCCCGTAAGAGCAGACTTTTCTCTGGCTGGTGACAAAAGAGGAGGAAAAGGGAAGTCAGGGAGATCTGAGGCACAAGCTGGATGTGAGCTGCTGTTGCTGGTCTGAAGGTGGAAGGGGCCACACAAAAAGCAGAAGAAAGAACTGAGCTCTGCTGATCACCAGTGAGTTCAGAAGAGGACCTGAGCCTCAGGTGAGACCAGCGCCAGCAACATCGACGTCAGCCTTGCGAGACCTGAAGCAGATGCTGCAGTTAAGCCGTGTTGTACCTGAGCTCCAGCCCACGAACTGGGCGATGATAAATGTGTGCTGTGTTGAGCTGCCAAGTTGTGGTAATGTTATAGCAATGACAGGGAATGGGTACGCACAGCTCAGAGGGCGAAGCTGTTTGTTATGAGAAATGGCCTGCCTTCAAGATGCCTACTGTAGACATGGGGAACAGTTCAAGGAATGTAATTGATAATGTTGTGAATATTTTGTAGGGTGTCAG